GGCCTCCAAAAGTGGCAGGATCACAGGTGTGAGCCACTACACCTGGCCATAGGGTTTCTTTAAAAATTAAACACACGTATATAAAATCAAAGTCCAAAAGGCACATACCTGAAATTAATGGCAGTTATTTCATGTGTAATTAACTGGTGAGTTTTAGTTAATATATTTTTAGTTTTCCTATGAGTATAAACTTATAATAAGTAAAAATACATGTGTATTTAATGTAATCATTTAATACTTCAACTGTTTGTAGCTCGACTGTCTTAAAAACCTGGAATGTAGCTTAAAAATCCTGGAAGTAATTAAAAAAATCAATTCTAAACAGCCAAAATTAATGTTACCAAACTCATATAATAAATAAAGCATATTATGTCCGGGGAAGCTCCTGGCCCGCCACTCAAATCCTGTTTACTCGTACTTTGCACACAATTTTTAGGACATGCCCTTTACAGGAACACAGCAAACTAGCAGCAGAACATTAAGAAAAGGGTAGAGCAGTCACTGCTGGCAGGGGCAGTGACATACCTGCCCCCACCGCCAGGGGGCGGGGACCTGAAGAACTTGTGCCAGACTTACCTACAGAACAGACGCCACTGAACATCCTGTAGTCCCCTTACTGTGTCATTGCCCAGTAATACATGTTCTTATCAGTGGCCCAGAGGCATCGAGAAAATGCCTTTTCTTGTTCAACTTTTTTTAAGATTGCAAGAAAAGCTGTAATTAAAATGTGTGAAAGGTTTAATCTCATATAACTAAAAATGGAGGAAAAAATGTGGTGATAAAAAGGCAAATCTTAGATATGTAGACTTCTTTATTATCTATCCAAAAATAACTAATTTCCTTGCCATTCTTAAGAGAGAACATTTTGGCTGGGACCTGTGGCTCACACCTGTAATCTCAATACTTTGGGAGGCCAAGGCAAGAGGATCACTTGAGCCCAGGAGTTTGAGACCACTGTGGGCAAGATGATGAGACCCTGTCTCTAAAAAATATAAAAAATAAAAATTAGCTGGGCATGGTGGCACACACCTGTAGTCCCAGTTACTTGGGAGATGAGGTGGGAGAATCCCTTGAGGCCAGGAGTTAGGTTGCAGTGAGCTGTGATCACACCAGTGCACTCTAGCCTAGTGACAGAGTAAGACTTTGTCATCAAGAAAAATAATAAAATTAAAAAATAAAAAGAGAATCTTTTACTGGTACTTGGATTTTCCAGTTTGAATCTGATACTACCATTACCTGAGTTTTCATACAAATCCAAGGGAACTGGAGAAGAATGGAATGCCACAAAATCAGGATATCGGAAAGTACCAGAGTTCCTACCTCTCAAAGCCATGGAATCCATCCATGAAAGCAGGAAAAACGTACCGTCTTAGAGCTTGTGGGCAAATGAGAAGGCATTTGGCTTGATGTGTTCTATGTCTTTGGCACTTAGCAAATGTTAGTTGAATTTGAATGTTGTGTTCCCATGTGGGACACAATAAATAGCAGGAGCTCTGGAGTCAGACGGAATCTAGTTCAGATGTGGTTCTTCAGCCTTGAACAAACCACATGACCCACCGCCTGCCTGTCTTCCTCACAGGACACTCAGGGGCTCTGTGTGGGCAGCACATCTTCCACTGGGCCCCGAACATTATTGACGCTCAGGAAAATGGTCATTCCCTTCCCATTGTAGTTGGCGAGGTGGGGCAAAGTGGTGGCAGGGTTGTCACACCTCTTACTTTTCTGTTGTACAAAGTTGAGAACTTTTAGAGGGTCTCAAAATCAGTGAGGGCAACAAACACCCCTGTTCCTCTTGTGTAGCGCTGCTGGGTGTGCCCAAGTCCTGTTTTTTATGCCCTGCCTTTTATCAGCCCCCTGGGAGCCCCGCAGAGCAGCAGAGCAGGATGCCTGGAGGTCGGGGAGGGGTAGGAGGATGGCAGCACAGGGCACAGCATGAGGGGTTAAGCCCCTGGCTCTAGTCACACACCAACAACATCACCTTCAGTGTTCCAGCCTGCTTCACCTGGTGCGTCCTCCCATCGTGGGCTGGGCTGGCAAATGAAAGCTTGGCTCGTCTGCACAGAATAGCCGGTCTGCAGACTGTCAGAGGGAGCTGCTAGTGTTCTCTTTTGGTGTGAGTCCCCAGTCAACCTGCAGGATCATTCAGCGAGGGACACAGTCAGCAAGTGGTAGAGTAGGAACAACAAGGTTTGCAGAAATGTGGAGCTTACCCGGCTATCGTGAGTTCTCACAACATGTTAACTGTAAACTTCGATCGAGGCCAGCAGATTTTGTTCTGTTTTTTTCTTGAGAACTAAAAAGGATAATTTACTGATCTACTTGCCTAGCTCTGTATGCACCCCAGTGACCACCCCTAATTATGAAATCTCTCCTGGCACCAGTACTCACAGCCAGGTAGAGGAGTCTGACGGGCCCATGGATTAGAAGCCGTGTGGTTGCCCCTTCCCAAGAAGAACGCTTGCTTGGGTGTCTGGGATGGCAGGTCAGAGACAGTCTGAGAGGAGGGGGAGCAGGGAGTGGGGGCCAGGGCTTGTGGCTGCAGACATAAGTGGGAGAAACCCCGGCTCTCTTTTCTTTTTTCTTTTCTAGGGTACTTCTTGCTATTGTAATTTGAAAATGTATTATTTGAGTAATGAGGGATGTCTTTTTCCTGCAAGACTGGTAGCTCCTTGGAGGCAGGGCCTACTGGTCTTGCATCTCTCTCCCTACCCCAAGGCCAGGCACATATGGGTACAACTTGTTGGGTGTGTGTGGTTTCAAGTTCTGCCTCTGCCCCTGGCTGGTGGCTGCCCTCTGCAAGCAACTGAACTCCGTGCGTGTTTCCTCGTCTGAAGCACACAAGTCAGATGACCTGTGCGTGCCTCCCGCTGCCTCTGGACCAGTCTGTTCATAGTGCTGTATCGAAGCTGACTGATGTCATCCACATACGAGCATGTCTAGAGCTAGCATAGTGTGTAACATAGCCATCATTTCCAGGACGTAGATACTCTATTTCCATTAACTGATTATTATTTATTATTTCAGACTTAACTGTAGTAATACATAGCTGCCTTCTCTGAAAGACTAAGTGAAATGATGTATAGGAAATTACTTCAGAAATTATAAAGTTTGTATAACTGAACAATGATTATTATTGCTGGCCCGAAGATACCCTCCTGAGAAGAAACTCAGACCCAAAAGACCGCACTGCAGACCAAGTATTGTAAAGCATATGTGTGGCTATCCCCATAAGAGAATGTATTTCTCAAGTTAGTTTTTCATTTAAAAAAAAAAAAAGGAACCCCTCAAAAAATTTTTCTTTTTAAATTTTTAAAATGTAACTTTGACCCCCTCTCTCCAGGTTTTCTAATGCAAGGTAGTTATTAGCATTTGGGTGTCAGTAAGGTTGCTGATCATGAAATCATGAGGCACAGGGCTCAGTCTAGCCTTGTTGCTGCCTCACTGAGTTATCATGAGCAAGTCATGTAACTTCTCTGCCAGATGAGGATGACTGCTTTTCAAAGCTAAAATAAGAATCGAACTGAATACTAAAAACGAGAATAAGATTATGGAAAGCCCTTCAGAAACACGAAGTTGATTACATCCCTCACATGCTTTTCTTGCCAGATCCAGCCTGTCCAGTTACTTCACCTCTCCCCACAGGACACAGTTCTGTTCTCTGCCCCACCCTGGGCCCTCTTCTCTAAATATATTGCAGCGTGTCTGTTTCCTGCTGGAGGGAAGCTCCCAAAGTTGGACCCACATACCTCATGTTGTTTTTTGCATTCAGACACTGCAATAACTATTGTCTAAGATTGATTCTTATCTGTTTTTATTAGCTCAGACCTAAGTCTGCTGTTTCCTGTGTCTGGATCCAAAAGGCTTACACTGAGTTCTGAAGTAGGAAGTAACTTCTTGTTTTTGTTTCTCTTCTAGCGACAGACACCACACCTCCAGTGCAATCCCTGTTCCTAAGAGACAAAACTCCACATTTGCGGGTGTGGATGTAGGCTTCTCTGGGGGGATCCCTTCACCAGACAAAGGACATCGAAAACGGGCCAGCTCTGAGAATGAGAGACTCCAGTACAAAACCCCTCCTCCCAGTTACAACTCAGCATTAGCCCAGCCTGTGGCCACCGTCCCCTCCGTGGGAGAGACTGAGAGAAAGACAACGTCTCTGTCCTCCTCCTTGGATACCTCCTTGGACTTCTCCAAAGAAAACCAGAAAAAAGGAGTGGATCTAGTTGACAGCTTAATCGGAGGCCGTGTGAATGTGCACCCTAGCCAAGAACAAGGAGAAGCCCTCTCTGGGCATCCAGCCGCAGTCAATGGCACTCTCCTACCCAGAGAGCAGGCTGGGCCCGCCAGCATCCAGCTTCCAGGTGAGTTCCACCCAGTCTCAGAAGCTGAGCTCTGCTGTACTGTGGAGCAAGCAGAAGAAATCATTGGGCTGGAAGCCACAGGTTTCACCTCAGGAGATCAGCTGGAAGCATTTAACTGCATCCCAGTGGACAGTGCCGTGGCGGTAGAGTGTGATGAACAAGTTCTGGGAGAATTTGAAGAGTTCTCTCGGAGGATCTATGCACTGAACGAAAATGTATCCAGCTTCCGCCGGCCACGCAGGAGTTCCGATAAGTGAAGTGAGCAGGTAGGCGGCAGGACCAGGGCAGAGGCTCGCCTCAAATGAAGTTAAAGCTGCACTTAACTCTTTGTAATAATTATGACACAAAATGAATATTAATGGAGGATATTCCTCAGAAAAACAGATTTTGGAAATGAAGGAGGGACTCAGGATCATTGTGTATCAGTGGGCCAAAGTTAGATTTTGCTTTTGAGATTTGCTTTTTGGGCCTGATGATTATTTTAAGGCAAAAGTCACCCTCTAGTTGAAAGAGCTTACAGCTCGAGTTACCTTTTAGCTATTTGTCTGCTTTTCATTTGCCCTTCTATGTTATCTTCAGAGGGAAGATGATAATATATAAATAATATAATGAACTCACCCTTAGTTTCTCATAAGTATTTGCCCTCACCGTAGTTTATAAAACTTTGGGAAAATGGCATATTCAGAAATAGGTTTCCACCATTTACTGAAAGGTCTGTGGCCATCCGTGAGGTAGATGAAGAAGCTGCATAGTGGTCTCCTTACACCCAGGCCCATCTGTTCCCCCCCCACCCCCGGGTACCACCGTCCACCCTTAGACCCCACTGTTACCCCATCTTCTCAGTGGATGGGCCATGCATCCTGGAAACAGGACATCAGATTCACTGGTACTGTAACCCAGTGGCCATGATGCTCCGTCTCTTTTAACCAGCCGTGGCCTTCCCCTCCTCTGCCATACCCTTAGTTACCCTCAGATTAGATGAAAAACTTGCTTCGGATGGATCCCAAGGGACCCTCAAAAACCTCGAGGTTACTGCAGTCAAATGCCACCTCATCCACTGTAGGGGCCAAAGCTTTTATGTGTGCAGATGCTGTGGTCAAGAACTAGGCATGCTTTCTGGCAGCGCACTCACCAACAAAAATCCTTTATGTAAATCCCATGTTAATATATTAAATTTCAGTCCGAAGGTCGGCATTTACATGGTAAAATGTATGTAAAGAGTCAGGCTGCCTGGTAGGCAAACTGCAAGGCAGTTGGGATAGATGGATTAAGAGGCTAGACAAGACATAGATTACTATCGGTATATGTGCAATTTCATAAATATTAAATTATGTTTTGAAGTCCAGTGGTCATTCCTGCATTCAGATTTCATTTGCTGTTGCTTTATACGTTATTTACCCAAGGACATTGCCTCAGGGTTGCAAACTCTTTAAAGGAAAATTTATCCATATATCCATGTATTATATAGAAAAATAAAAATTGAATTTACTTCACCCAACCTGATTTTTTTTTCCCAGCTTTGAAATTCCTCCTGAACCTACGTCTCCATATGTCACATCATGACAGGACTAGCCTGAACAAAAGCCATGTCTGTATCTAGGTGGAGGCTGTTGACTTCGTTTCAGTTTACATATTGTATACAGCAACACAAACGCTTCCCAGGCATCCACTCCAGCAGCCGCGTTTGTCCTGCACAGCAGCTTCGTCACAGGCCGCATAGTCACTTTCACATTGTGCCCAGGCGTTCCTGGGCTTAAGTTTAATGTATAGCTACATTGTTGTTTTCCATGTAGAGAGCTCACAGGATTACTACACAGTAGATAAAGCGGAGAGCTTTACCTGGATCTGAAGAAGCCCATCGTATTCCACATGAAAGGTGGAGTAAGATGGAAGCTTCTTCACCTGGAGCAGGAGCTTCTCTGCTGTGGCCTGTCTGCCGCTCATTTTAGAGTCCGTGAGCATGGAGATAAACAGCATCGTGGATATGCCCGTGCTGCGGGGCCCTCCAGGAAAGGAACATTTACCAAAAAAAAAAAAAAAAAAAAGGTTTTGAAGGGCAGTGTTAGGATTGCAGAATGAAAGGTGAATCCCGTGGGACTTATGATTTCCCCAGATATGGGGTGGACTTTAAATGTCATGCCAAACCCAAAGTAGGTACATCCAGTTGCAGGGCGTCCCGCCTGGCTCTGGCACCACCAAGGAGTAGGACTCCTCATGATGACAGTGTCCATCTCAGGTCCACACAACCATGAGAGCCTGGAGCACTGGGCCCTACCCATCAGTCCCCCCACCGCTGTGTAGACCCCCGATTGATTCTGGGCTTCATGGCTTTTCACTGCACCGCAGGGAGCCCTGCACTTGAATGTCATCAGGCTGCTCAGAGCTGATTGCCAGGTGCCTACACATTTCTCTCGACCCACACAGCCTGGTGGTGATGCCTCCAAACACCGATTAGGTTTGGGTTTGTTTAGTTTGTGTTTGGGGTTTCCATTTGAACTTGTTTGATGTCTGCAGTTTCTGCCATGACCTGGGTAGAAACTATGGGATTACCCATCTCCTGGAATAACTGTTTGATGTTTTCCAAAGCTGTAGAGTTAGTTTAGTCTCTCTTTAAAGTGGCTGGGGCCAAAATATGAGATGAGTTATTATCTCCTACTAATCTTTTAAATTAGTTTTGTAAATCACTAAGAAAATTAAGTTTGCTCGGAAGATATGAGTTGAATTGGAAACTCATTACTATCTATTTCTGAACTGCTAAGAACCCTTCCAGTTTTCCTACAGCTGAGATGCTTTTAAACAGCCGACAAATGTTATCAAATGAATATTTGATCGTTTGTTTTTTTTCTCTTCACTTCCCCTTAACCACTTTAGAAATTCCAGAGATTTTTTTTCTCCTCAGAATATTAGTTTTGGAAGATTGTACCCAGCTATATATTTTTTAGCAGTTCTAATGGTGCCCATTTATCCTGACCTAACCAGTTAAATAATTTTTTAAACCACCACAAATAATAAATGGCATGTGAAACTGATCTGTTGGTAATTGGAAGAAAACTCAGCATCTGTATTTATACAATAAAATTGATTAGTATTTATTTTGAGAGTTAAAAGTGTATATTATTTCCCTCTACATTTGAGTCCTGTCTTCATTGTTTTGAATTTCATATTGAAGCTGGGTTAACCATGAAAGCCTTGTTCTTAAAGAGTCAGCCAGCATTTATTGAGCACACTTGCTCTCACGCACTCACACACACACTCTCTCCACATGTGTGTAAGGGACTGGGCTATAAACAAAGTTAATACGAAGATGAATAAACCTTGGCTTCTGCCACACTCTCTCGTGGGATGCACAGGCATATTAGCTATTAATGATAATTCAGTGTGCTAAATTCTGTGATGGAGAGATGTATGTATTCTGTGGAATGCAGACAAAGCTATTCATTGTCACTCAAGGGTCAGGAAAGATTCATGGAGGTAATGCAGATTTAAGATATGTAAAATTTCACATTGTGGGTAGAGAGAACAGCATGGGCATAGGCCCAGGGCAAGGCCTTGGGTATGAGTTTGGAAAACAGCAGGGAGTTTGCTGTCCTTGAGGCCTGAACGGGTATGAAGAAGGGCAAACGGGGAAATGGAGTTATAGGCCAATTGGAAGGACTTAAGGTGCCAAATAAAGAGATTTGGATGAATCCAGTAGGCAACTGGTAGCTGCCCTTTCCAGACTTGAAGCAAAAGAGTAACTTGGTTAGATCTGAATTATGACTTGCAGCTAGATTCAGGCTGGACTCCAGCAACGCTTGCCTGAGTCTATTTAATCATCTTTCCTTTGTGTTTGGAAAAAAAAGAAATCTGTATCTGAAAAAGAGATGCATCCCTCTGTCCCTGGTATTTTCAGGGAATGATATGGTTTGGATTTTGTCTCCTCCAAATCTGGTGTTGAAATGTGATTCCCCATGTTGGACGTGGGGCCTGGTGGGATGTGATTGGATCATGGGGCAGACCCCTCATGAATGTATTAACACCATCCCTTCGGTGATAAGTGAGTTCTCCATTCCCCCAGGATCTGGTTTTTTAAGAGTCTGGGATCTCCCCGTCTCTTGCTCCCGCTCTTGCCATGTGACTTGCTCGCACCCATCACCTTCTGCCATGAGTGTAAACTTTCCAAAGCCTGCCCAGAATCTGAGCAAATGTTGACACCATGCTTATACAGCCTGCAGAATCGTGAGCCACTTAAACATCTTTCCTTTACAAATCCCCCAGCCTCTGGTATTCCTTTATAGCAACACAAAAATTGGCTAATACATACATATTAAATCAATCTGGGTTTTTACGGTGTGGTACAGAGTGCAGCCAGCATGTCTTCTTTAAAAGTGAGCTTCTGAATGCCCCGTGGCACCTGTTCACCTCTCTGCAACTCTGCCGCTTTGAAGCTATGACCCTGGAAGTCACTGAGCTTTTTTGAGAGCCCCCATTTCTTAATCCGTAAAAAACTGGAAAGAATTCTGTCCTTCCCAATTACGTTTGCAGGAGACCCGCCACATCATTGATACTCCATCAATGTTGGTCACCTTGGGTCCCAACACGTTAGGTCCCAGAGGAGGCCACTTTGCCGGGATAGAAAGAATGCCTGGGACTAAGCGGGTTTCCTGTTCTAGCACTTGGAGCACAGCCACTTAACCTCTCTGGATTTGGCTCCTAATCTGTGAAGTAGGGATAATACCCACCCCTGACAGTTGATAGAATGTTAGAAGAGATAAACGTCTTCATGAAAGCACTTAATGATCTTTACAAAGCACCATGCACATTGGGAGGAATTAGTCACTCAACGAGGATTTCTTGCGTTCTTTGTTTCAGGCTTTGGTGGGATGGTTGAAATACAGATATTCATTCTATACATACTGAGAATGTGTACTACAGCTGAAACTAGTCTTTTGAAAGCCTAGGCTCTCCCAGGCTCGGTGGCTCACGCCTATAATCCCAGCACTTTGGGAGGCAAAGGCAGGCGGATCACTTGATGTCAGGAGTTCGAGACCAGCCTGGCCAACATGGTAAAAACCCATCTCTACTAAAAATACAAAAATTAGCCAGGCGTGGTGGCTCATGCCTGTAATCCCAGCTACTTGAGAGGCTGAGGCAGGAGAATCACTTGAATCTGGGAGGCGGAGGTTGCAGTGAGCTGAGATCACGCCACTGCACTCCAGCCTGGGTGCCAGAGCGAGACTCCATTTCAAAAAAAGAAAAAGAAAACCTAAGCTTTAAACAAATGAAAAGTATTTCAACGTGTGTTGGTGGTAGGCGGACCGACGTGATGCTGAGATGTGGCTTCACAGCTGTAATGTCCATGTTGCTGGCACCTGGCGGATGAGCTGCCTTAGGCCTGCCTCGCTGGTGAATGTTCTCCAACATGGCTTCCAGCGAGCTCAATGAATGAAGAGCTGGTGCCCAGAGCTCTTGATTCTGCTCGAAGTAGATAGCTTTCTTTTTCTTTTTTTTCTCCCTTAGCACATCTAATTACAGTTTTGTAGGTAGACAGCTCAGCCTTGTGGATTTTAAATGAATAAAAACATACATGTCTTTAAAACAATTCCACACATTTTAGAGGCCAGCACTGTCAGCAATCCAAAAAAGGAATGAGCAGGAGTCTAGATAAGAATGAAAGAGATGGCCAGTTGGTGAAATAGCTGTAGCCAAGCCCAGGCACAGAACACAAGGGGGAGAGTAGCAGGCGCAGGTCATTTTGGCAGTGCGTACAAAACAGTTCTAAGGCGCTGCAGATGAGAAAGTCTTGGAGGGTGAGAGGGAGCGGGAATAATGGACAGCCTGAACTACGGAAGAGACAGGAGCATTCGGGAAGGAAGCCGTCTGGGGCCTGACTGAGCAGCACCCTGTCTCACAGGAGAGCAAGTCGGAGATGTTCCAGCCCCAGCGCTGCCGCTCACTGGCTGTGTGACCCCGGCCAGGCGCTTGACTTCTCTGAGCCCACGTGCTGGTCTGTAAAGTGAAATCAGCCTCTTGTTCTGTATTTCCTTTGATCCTGGATGGAGGCTTCTCTTGCCCTAGGAGCAAATGTGTATTCTTCCTTCAAAACCTGTCTCTGATGGCCTTGGGGCCCAGAGCATGACAGAACAGGAGAGGCTTCTCACCTGTCACTCTGCATGTGTGTGAAGAACTTGGCACGGCTCATGACAGCGGCTTCTGATCAGAGCAGTTTGTATTGTATGCAGCAGAACAGCCACCGTCCTGACATCGACTCAAAATCCATGGCACACGAACTTGTAAGATGTGTAATAAAAATTAATAAAACAGCTAGCTGAAAAAATTCAGCTTTAGTGTGACTTTTACTGTTGCTAAGGATGGATCCCAGTCATCACAAAAAGGATACATTGATTTTAGTTTGACAGGAAAATGCATAAAATAGTTTAAGGATGTGTATGATTCAAGATGGTTAAAATGATGCTTTAAGGGATAAACTTGTTCTCTCAAAAGTTTACTTGCAAAAACATTTTTAAAAAGTTTTAGTTCTGCAGAACACCTTATTCCTCAAAGAAACCAGCCTCACTGTGAATGTCCACAGATTACTTGCTGTTTGGGTCAAGGAACAGGTACACTTGATGTGAGGAGACCCCAGGCTACTTTGTGTGCAGGTGGTATGTGAGCTTTCATTCCCGCAGCACACGTCTCCAGAGCCTGCTGACCTCAGCGCCAGGCCCTTTGCTACCAAAAGCCTGCCGGCCACCTGGACTTCTCAGCCCCGACCCGCACCTAAGCTTTGCCTTCAGTGGCACACGGTAGGTGCTCCTGAAGTGTGCGTGTTGGCCTGGGGCGGGGGCAGTGTGGGTGAGGAAGAGCACAGACTGAGTTTGCTAAGTTGCACCTGTGTCTGTCTCTTGGTCCCTGGGAGCTCTGTGAAGGCCCAGTGTTACTTCAGAAGCAGAACTGGTCCAGGAGGCTCACGCCTGTAATCTCAGCACTTTGGGAGGTTGAGGCAGGGGGATCACTTGAGCCCAGGAGTTCGATACCAACCTGGCCAACATGGTGAAACCCTGTCTCTACTAAAAATACAAAAAAAATTATCTGGGCATGGTGGCACATGCCTGTAATCCCAGCTACTCGGGAGGCTGAGGCAGGAGAATCGCTCAAACCCAGGAGACGGAGATTGCAGTGAGCTGAGATCGCACCACTGCACTCCAGCCTGGGCCACAGAGCGAGACTCCATCAAAAAAAAAAAAAAAAAGCAGAACTATCTCCAGATTATATAAGACTGTGGAACTGGATTTTTGTAAACAGCAAATCACACCGATTCTCAGTGCACATCCTGAGTGCTAATGAGCCACTGCTGGCTGGGAAACCTGAACAGGAGCTGAGGCCCTGCTGGCCTGCCCTGCCCTGCACACATCGGTATGACGATGCCTGCTTTGTCTCCATGGTGATGCAGTGACCCCTCAGACAGGCACAGTGTTGTTCCTGTCCCAGCCCTCTCCCCCATGTCATTGCATTTGATCCCCAGGCCAGCCCTTAGAGGGTGGGGGCAAGATGTTCCTATTGATACTTGACCCAGGAACCCCGCTCCCAAAGAAGGGTGACCTGCTGAAGGTCACACACATCCCAAGGCCACACTGGGGC